TTACGTACTCGTTTTGTACTAGGGTAAAACAAACACAAAGTTCTACTTGACTGATCCTCCGAGGCAGCTTGTTCTTAGAAGTCCCTGAAGCATCTTTCCACCTCCGCTTCAGTGGTCTAAGGTCCCTGAATCATCACATTCTATACACAGTACATAGGACATGAGGACGAGGGACATTCGATCGCTGCTGTGGAGAAGGAGACAGGCTGGAGGGAGCTCTGTGACAGCCGGTCAGAGTGTAACGCGCACATGTGATGCGGAGCCTCCATGATTAATAGAACTGAAATCCAATGAATGGAAGGCGCCGACCAGGGACAATCAGGCCAGGGGAGGAAAGTAGGAGATGATGCTGGATGTCCTCCAGTCCAGTGGGCTCTCTTTGACTTGCTGCATCTTCTAATGCACATTATGATATCAGTGTGTAGTGATATCAGAGGAAGCCATTTCAGTCCAGGAGAGGAGCCGGTGCAACTGTGCAAGACTGAAGGGAAGGACAGAGGTCAGATATGAGACTGAAGGGAAGGCCGGAGGTCACATATAAGACTGAAGGAAAGGAAGGAGGTCAGATATAAGACTGAAGGGAAGGAAGGAGGTCAAATAGACTAAAGGGAAGGACGGAGGTCAGATAGAAGACTGAAGGGAAGGACGGAGGTCAGATATAAGACTGAAGGGAAGGACCGTGGTCAGATATAAGACTGAAGGGAAGGATCGTGGTCAGATATAAGACTGAAGGGAAGGGCGGATGGAGGTCAGATAGAAGACTGAAGGGGAGGACGGAGGTCAGATACAAGACTGAAGAGAACAACGGAGGTCAGATATAAGACTGAAGGGAAGGACGGAAGTCAGATAGAAGACTGAAAGGAAGGCCGGAGGGCAGATAGAAGACTGAAGGGGAGGACGGAGGTCAGATAGAAGACTGAAGGGAAGGACGGAGGTCAGATAGAAAACTGAAGAGAAGGATGGAGGTCAAATATAAGGCTGAAGGGAAGGACGGAGGTCAGATATGACTCAAAGGACAGCCAGAGTTCAGCTTTAAGCGGCACATATAAATCTTTCATGTATGGCAGAATATTTATTACAATTTTAAACTGAATTTTCAGATTTTTGCAGAGGTCTGGGGTTGTGCCCGGCTCTGTGCATTGTACGGGGCGCAGTATTATTCCGCACCTTCTGTTGGGTAGACAGACACAAGCGGCGTACGGCAATCTCGTGTACGCTTGGCCTAGTTTGTGTGCAGATAGGACGTGGGTGGGACGACAAAGACAAATCCAGCGACGATTATCCCATTAAGGGAACCCAGTTAATATAATTTGGACGCATTCCCTATCTAGCGGGAGATGACTAGATAAAGACGATCCGATCATTATAATTTGCTACATTATTTGTCACTTATGTGTGACATTCTCCTCCCGCTAACGAGGAAAACAAACAGTTTAGTTCAGTGATGCATTCCTTCAAAAATAATTAAAAGCTGAACTCCAGCCAGACAAAAAGAACAAACTCCTTTTATTCCAATGTAATGGTTCTAAAAAAAAAATAGTATAGGTACCCTCATCTATTCTTATATATTATATACTGTACACCAATCAGCCATAACATTCTGACCACTGAGAGGTGAAGTGAATAACATTAATTATCTGGTTACAATGGCACCTGGAAGTGGGGGGATATATTACAATGACACCTGGAAGTGGGGGGGATATATTACAATGACACCTGGAAGTGGGGGGGGATATTACAATGACACCTGGAAGTGGGGGGGATATATTACAATGGCTCCTGGAAGTGGGGGGATATATTACAATGGCACCTGGAAGTGGGGGAATATATTACAATGGTACCTGGAAGTGGGGGGGATATATTACACTGACACCTGGAGGTGGGGGGGATATATTAGGCAGCAAGTGAACAAATTGTCACAAGTTGATGTGTTGGAAGCAGAAACGATGGGCAGGTGTAAGGATTTGAGGGACTTTGACAAGGATCAAATTGTGAGGTCTAGACGATGGGTCAGAGCAACTCCAAAACTGCAGCTGTTGTGGGATGTTCCCGATCTGCAATGGTCTGGACCGACCAAATGTGGTCCAAGGAAGGAAAACCAGTGAACTGGTGATAGGATCATGGCTGGTCAAGGCTTATTGATGTACGTGGGGAGTGAAGGCTGGCCCGTGTAGTCTGATCAAATAGAATAAATAATCAAATTGCTGAAAAAGTGAACGCTGGTTCTGATAGAAAAGTGTCCAATGCAGTTTGTTGCATATGGGGCTGTGTAGCTGCAGACGGATCAGGGTTCCCATGCTGACCTGTGTCCACCATCAAAAGTGCCTACAATGGGTATGTGAGCATCAGAACTGGACCACAGAGCAATGGAAGATGGTAGCCTGGTCTGATAAATCACATTTTCTTTTACACCATGTTTATGGCTGGGCGGGGACGTGTGTGTCATTTACCTGGGGAAGAATGCACCAGGATGCACTATGGGAAGAAGGCAAGCCAGCAGAGGCAATGTGATGCTTTGGGCAATGTTCTGCTGGGAAACCTTGGGTCCTGCCATTCATGTGGCAGTGGTGAGGGACCCAGAGGGGGAACTTAGGTAAGGGTGCTGGTGGTGTACGTTCCAGGGTGATGGGGGTCAGTTGGGTGTGGGGCTTGGTGCTTGCTGGTGGTGCACGTCTGGGGTGGGGGCTTGCTTGCTGAATGATATGCAGAGCTGGGGCTAGCGTCCCACCCAGCTCACTGACGTCAATGGTTCTTATGAGCTGGGTGGGATGCCAACCAGAGCATCCTGCTCAGCTCCTGGCAACCAGTGATGCCAGTGGGGTCCCAGGTTGCTAATAGCTGTGTGGGGAGATGTGTATGGCCCATACACATCTCCTTACCCATTCTTTTAGGAACACGGGACGCTCTACACGGAAAGAAAATCTCATTATAGAGGGACAGTCCTGCATGGGAGGTAGGGGTAGGAAAACAAAATATTTTTGAGTTCAGTTGGGCTTTAAATCTCTAATTTTGACCAAGAGGTCAGATCCTTGGTACACCTGTCATGTCTAAATGATCCACATGTGTTATTCCCTCTGCTTCCAATTCTTTACTTTTACTTTGCAACACCTCTCTTCTAAATAAACTTTCAAACCCCTTACCGTGAGCAGAGGTTGTTGATTGCCATATATATATCTATATATCTATATATATATATATATCTATCTATATATATATATATATATCTGTCTACATGCACTCCAGTGATGGCTGCATGACATTTCTCAGCGCTGGATATAGATATATATATATATAGTTTATAAGTATTTATTAGTATAACTTAACTGTTTGCTGGAGTTCGCCTTGAATCTCTTTGAACACTGCCGCTTGCCACACTCATAGCAGTTCTTAGGCATTATAAGCCATTTGCAATCACTAAAACAAATCTTATCCATCAGATGGATGAAGGCAATCAACCACCAACACTTTCAGTAATTTCATAGTATTGACAGGAACTGCTGGTAGTTGGTAACATTCATCCATTGGGGTTTTTTCGTGATTAAATGCTTTTTAGAAGTGGTTGAAAATGTTTATGTGTGTGGCCAGCAAGCGACAAATCAATCCATATTCAAAATGTATCATTTTTGCAGGTTCTTTAACCAAACTTTTCAATTTTGTTTCTCTGTAATAAGTAGACATTCAGGAATCTATTCATTGGTGGGGACACTGAGAGCTAAAGATCAGAACATTAAAAGGGAACCTTGGAGTGGATGACTTTGTACTTCGTCAACAAGCTCGGCGGAGGGTTCTCTGAACGGGTCAAGCGGACTCTTTTCACGTGCTGGTGATCAGAATGAAGTTTGCCTAAGATAAATCGCTCAATGATGCCGGCTACACCTTTTCCTCTCGTCCAGGGGGCCACGCGAAGACCTTGCACCACAGCAGTCTCACCACCATCAACCAGCAAGAAGGACTCAAAGCCCACCTGAAGAAGAGACATCAACAAGGCATGTTCAGCAACAGACAATTGGCTGGACACATAGATGAAATAGGAACACAGTGTTCAATAATCAATATAAAATATGTTTTGTGATACTCTAAAGACTAGACCGGACTACTGGCAAATAATCAAGAGAATCAAAAAGTTAGACATTAGCGGTTATCCTGATTTGTGCCTCCCTATTTAGGAGCACTGTAGACTATTCACATTGTGCCCTGATTTACAGGTAAAGTTCCTTGACCCTCAGGGCCCATTCACACCACATCCAGATCATCTCCAGACCAGACCAGATTTTTTCCAGACCCAAAATGCATCCCAATGTATCCCTATGCTATTTCTTACCTCTGTTAACACCAGCGCAGTTCGTTCCAGACCAGACCAGAAAAAAACTGCATGTCTCATTTTGTCTGGTCTGGAATGTTTTCAGGGAACATACAACAATCATACTAACAATCTCTGGACATACACTATGGTCAAGAGTATGTAAATGTGACTCCAAATTATTGAGTTCAGGTGTTTCCACTGAAGGGTACCGTTAATGCTACAACATACAACAATTCAAGACAATTGTGTTCTTCCAACCTTCTGCCAACAGGTTGGTGAAGGCCCTTTTCTTTTTCAGCATGACTGTGCTCCTGTGCACCAAGCTAGCTCCATAAAGAAGTAGTCTGATGAGTTTGATGTGGGGAAACTCGAGTGGCGTTCACAGAATCCTGACCTCTATTGAACACCTTTGGGATGGGTCTTCTCATCCAACATCAGTACCTCACCTTGTAAACCGTCTTCTGGCTAAATGGGCACAAATATGTTCTGGGGGTAACACAGGGTTAAAGCAGAACATAAGCAGTCCTCTAGCTGTTACAGTGATGTCATGGCAGCTTCCACTTTTAACTCCACTGGCAAAGGGCAGGCATTCTTCCAGGGCTGAATGGCACTCATGTAATGAATTGTAAGCACCAATCTATACTGGAGTGTTGACGCGCCCTCAAGGGGGCATGTAAATGATAGGCTGGGCTCACAGGTAATGGGCAGAATGACATTGCTGTTGCTTTGCCCTAAAAGGACTGCCAGCGCCGGACCAAGGAGGAAGCCAGGGACAGCATGGAGAGGTACCAAACCAATGAAAATAGTCCAGATACAAATAATTTAATTATGGGGGGACATTTAATTAGAGAAGCCAATGTTGCCAAACCAGCTACTGACAAGCCTGAAGTATTCTCATCACAACACAATATGACTTTCAAGCTGCAGGGATTGTAGCCCATATACATGATTTCACCCATTAAGCCCTGATGAAGGGGGGAGTTTTGAACCCCCCGAAACATATTGGTTACTCTACTCCTGACCCTAATGGAATAACATTGTATCTGGACTATTTTATTTGGTGTGGCACTTCTATTGGTACATATACAATGTTCAGTATCACTACTGGGGGGAGAGAGCAATAATTTTTCTGTAGAAGAGACTTTGTATGTCCATTCTGCCAAAAATCCCATGTTTTAAAATGTCTTTAGTTTACTTCCGATATAAGCCTAGAAGAGGAAGCATGGAAGCAATATTTACACTGGTTTGGCAAATTAGCTGCAGACTGAAATGGGACGGTCATTTGTTTTATAACATTACACTACAGAATGTCTTATCAATTTGTTTAGAAGTGGAGCACTCCTTTAAATCTCATCAGTCAACTGGAATGCCAGAAGCTCAACGCATGAACAATTTTCATGTAATTTGTAGAACATTTGCATCAAGCTAATACGCCAATTCACACTTGGCATAGCTCTTGCAGCAAATGTTTACGGATTCATTTATGATTCATTAGGAAATTATGGGTCATTCAAGTGTCACACATTTCTCAGAATAGAAACTCATGGCTTCAAACTGGAAATTTCTATTAGGTTTCATTTAAAGCTGAACTCCGGGATGAGCATGTATGTGACATGTGTGTCCTTCCCCGAATCTTGGTGAGCTTTGTGTATTCCTTCCAGGTCTGTGCAGTAATCCAATGTGAGACCTGGAGCTTCCTGTACTAAAGATGGTTCACTGCTGCTCTCTGTCCTTGTGCCTGGAGTTCTCCAGGTTCTCCAGGAGGACTAAAGCCCCATTTTTATTTAAAGTGGGAGAGTATCAGAAGATCAGGTTGTTATTGCTATCTGTGTCTCTAGTATATCAATTTCTCCGGTCCTGGTGGCGGCAAGTATGGACAGGAAATGAAGAAGAATCTTCTTCATGGGGATAGAAATAAGAACCTGCCAGAGTTTATATTATTTGCCCAGTCTATTAAACCTAAGTAGAGTTAGGCTTTCTAATTCTACCCACTTCCTTAATAATATGACTCTACAGCCATACAGCACATCTCTGCACTACATGCACATTTCCCCAATTATTATCCCTTAAAAAAACCTCTGCAAATGCAGAAGAATAACTAGTAATCTGCCAGAGAGCCAATGAACTCCTGACTTCTTGTTTGAGCTGACAACACAATGCCTTCCCCACACTAAAATGTCAACCAGTGCTGTCGGAGAATCCCATTGTCAGCCCTTCCTGCTAAACTACAGGACTCTTAGTATCCTCCACCCATCTCTGTCCCATTCCACATAAATACATTTATTTCTATCTCAGGAAAACAGTAGGGCACAAGATTAGGAGTTGATGGCTTAACAGGAAATGCTTTTGGTATGCCTCATTGGTCGTCATTTATCAATGTGTCTGAGGGAAGAATTGCCTCAGTTAGTCTTTTCTGGTCTGTAGCCACCAATCAAGCTGCAACACGATGGCGTCTGAGAAATGGGCTTAATGGAGTGAAGCTAAACTACAGCTCAAACGACAAATCCGATGCATTCTACTGGAACATATTCAGACTTATTTATCATATGTTTATGACCTGTTCAGTGTTGTCCACCATTACTAATCAGATTCATATTTCTTCGGACCATGGATCAACATCTGACATCTGCTTGGTTCGGGTGGGGCAACAAAGAGATTGTTTCATAAATGGGGCCACATATTACTGCAGACTAGCTATTTTGTTTTAGGATTATAGGATTAGGCAGGTCCTCCACTTCTGGTAGGAAGGAATGGATGGGTAGCTGGGTAGAGTCAAGGAGTACAGTCTGGATTTGAGTTCAGGAAGTGAGGTAGTCGGTGGATTGGAAAAGTGTTAGGTCTGTTCTGTTCTCTTGTGGGAGAATTAGGTCATCAGCTGTGAAAATGTAATAGACAACCATGCAGCTTCCACTTGAGGGAAAGCCATATGTTTTATCCTGCATGAGGCACCACCAGGTTAGCTGGAAGGTACTGAGAAGAATGAATCCACATTCATGGGCAAGATAGGTAAGCTTGACCAGCCATGGAAGATTGAATGACATTTGCCTATTGATTATATATTTGGAAATTCCTATGCTGCAATACGAAGTTAAAGACAGAAGTGGACCAAGTCTCTTTATTCTTATGGAATGCATGGTAAGCCTGTAACTGGGGAGCAAAGAGATGAGACTGGCTCAGTCAACAACTAGGTCTGCCGACTTGGCGATGGTGAGATGGGTTTCCTGGTGAGACCACGTGCCATGTAACCCCAGACCCTAGTGACGTGTGGGTCTGGGTGTTTGGTGGCACCCGCAGTGAACAACGTCAGGAACCACTATAATCTGAGGGGTCCCTCAGGAGTAAGTGAATGTGTTCCATGACGTGGCCTGAAGACTGTTGAGTTAAGAGTCAAAGTGATGGTGTTGGGTCTCAGGCCCTTCATCGCAGCAAACAATACAATAGCCCCAGATGGACTCTTAGACGAGTCAATGCTAGGAGGATCTACAAGAGTCCCTTTCAATACTATTTTCCCTTTACTCTAGATCAAATGTAATATCTTCTACTGATAAACCTTTGATGACTGTAGGCCAGTATGCTGGAGTCTTGGAACTATCGAACTTACATGTATGATGACAGCCAAACAAAGAATCTTTACACTGCACATAAATATCACACAAAGTTTCATTTATCACTGTAACTGGCCGTAGAATTGTTTCAGACCGTCTATACTGGCCCACAGCAACCAGGTGTGTTATAGAATAAAGACTTGAGAAAGCCATGCTGAAGACGACATCATTGCTCTTCTAGGGCCCAATGGAGTGACTCTAACTAACATAATGCCCCTACTGTATATCAAGTATGTTCTACATGATCACACTTCTCTCCCTCTATCATTTCTCTTATTGTGTATCCAAGCACTTAAACCTTGCTGCTCTAAGTCCATAGACCTGGTGGCTGCATTCGTTTTTTTTAAAGACTTTTTTTTCCTTTATTTTCACCTGATGATTCTTCCAGTAACACACTTCCTGCCTTAGGGTGACAATGCTCACTCACTGTATGGCAGCAAAGGATTATCATTGTCACCCTAGGACAAAACTACAGAACACAGTCCCCTGTCCTTTCTCCATAGGAAAATCTGTTTTGTAGTGCACAGAAATTGCTGGGAAAATGCTAACTGGTAAGAGTCAGCAGAGAGCACAGGAAGTTATCAGCTCACAACATTTCAACAAGTCTTTTTTGTATGCATCCAATAGATATAACAGAACACTTTCTCTATATTCTTTATTTAAGACACCAGTAAACATGTTACATAGTATAATCATAGAACATCAATCAAACATGTCAGACATTAGGTGAAGTATATATTGCAAACTCTATACACCTAAGGCCCTCTTCTGTGAGTCAAACAACAAGAGGGAGGGGACAGAAGGGGGATTACAGCACATAAGGTAAATGGACTGTTCAGTTCAAAAGGGTGGAAATATCAAGAGAGTTGAGAGAAAGTATTGGGGATCGGAGGACCAAAGGGCCAAGAAAACTAAGGAAGTACCCTCCTATCCATTCCATTAGCTAGGGTAAGACATCTGCACAATAACAGAACACTTTCAATGGTATGTTTAACAGGACAAAGAAGAGAAGTTCATTGTTAGGGTTTATATACGCTTTAGGATCCTATGGTCATCATTCAAATTTTCAATAGAAAATGTTAGCTAAATACCCAGAGCCGGCATTTTCTTGCATATTGTGTGACGTCATTCTAGATTGCCTTTCAATACTCACTATTTTCCCCTCACTCCTGGCCATAAACATGCGTCTTCGATGATCCTTCAGCCATTCATGGTATTTGCAAGGCAGATAGTCCATTCCTTTGTATATACCACCTGAGATAGACATCAGCTCCTCGTAGTCCTCAGCGGTGGCCGGTGCAAAATCTATGCCTGCCATTGGTGATTCCGACATGATGAGAGATGTGTGCAGCTGAAAAGAACAAGATAGAGAGAAAGGACCTTCTATGAATGAGCAAAGTTCAACAGGTACATCACGCCCTCTGCACGTGGGAACAAGTCCAACCAACCGTTTCTGCACAAGATCAGCATGACACGTATTGGCATCAAATATGTTTTGTTTTTTTTCTTTTATAATCCTCTTGGAGAGGTATTCAAACCAAAGTACAAAGGAGCAAGTGTGCAATTAACCAAAGCAACTAGTTAATCTTAAAATCAAATCAGTAACTTTATCAGTTTGCAGGAATGAATTGAAGGCAATATATAGAAACAGTATAAAATGTGTGAGATTTCATCGTTATGAAGCAGAGGTAGGCAACTCTGCAGAGGTGGAGATCTACCTGACCACATGGAAGAGAGCACAGATCACTAAGGTGCAGCATGCTTTTCATAAGGCGATAACCAAACAAGAAACCAAAAGGAAGGAAGGTTTAAAAATGTTCAGAGGTCAATAGTAAGTAACGCATGGGTCAGAGGTCAGTAGTATGTTAAAGATTGCAGAGGTCAGGAGTAAGTAACAAAGAGTTCATGGGTCAGTAGCAGGTACCACAGAGTGCAGAGGTCAGTAGTACATAACGCAGAGTGCAGGGGTCAGAAGTAAATAGTGCAGAGGTCTACAGTAGGTAACAGGGTACAAAGGTCAATAGTAAGTAACACAGGGGTCAGTAGTAAGTAACACAGAGTTCAGGAGTAAGTAATGCAGAGTTTGGGTGTCAGTACTGAGTGATGTAGAGTTCAAAGGAAATTAATAAGTAACTCAGAGGTCTGTTGACAGGAAGTAAAGGGAAATCTCCCCAGTGGGACACGGATGGAAAAAAAAGCTGATAGGGGTTATAACCCTCCCTTATTATATCCAAAAGTAATTTTAAAAAAAGATTCAGTTGTACATTAAGCAATGCTCATTATATCCCTGTCTGAACAATACTTCCTAGCCAGTGTTCCAGAAAGAGGTTCCAGTTCCTACTGACACCAATGTCCTGAGAGGAATTGACGTTCCTAGCGACCCCCAGTGCCCCTGAGAGAAGTTTCAAGTTCCTAGCGACCCCCAGTGTTCCTGAGAGGAGTTCCAGGTCCAAGTTCATAATGATCCCCAACATCCTGAGAGAGTTTCCAGTTCCTGGTGACCCCCAAGTTTTCCCAAGAGAAGTTCCAAGTGACTCTAGTGCTCCTGAAAGAAGTTCCAGGTTTTAGTGGCCCCCAGTGTTCCTCAACCAAGTTCCTGTTAATCCCAGTGTTCTGTGTTCCTGAATATTCATTCTTAGTAGTTAGTGTGCCTCCTAAGACCATTGCATGCATGTGTACTCCAAGACAACTCCCAGCATACTTGCATCTATACGCCTTCCAAACCCCTAGAGAGTTCCCAGTTTACCTACATCTGTGGGCCTTGGGTTCTCTCAGAGTGCTACCAGTGTTCCTGTACCTGTGTGCCACAGTACTCCTACTGAGCTCTTAGTGTTATTGCTTTCCTTTCTTCCAGTGGACCCAGAGTCTCTTGTATATCCAGTGCCCCAGTACTGCAAGAGACTCACATCCTGTGGTACCTGTGTTGCCAGAACCCCAGTCCTGTGAGAGACTTACACTACTATGTACCTGTGTTTTCCATGCCCTATTGCTGAAAGAATCACTCGCTCTCTGGTGCAACCTCATGTTACCCAGTGTCTCTAGAGCTGTCTGTGTCAAAACACTAGTTGCGGAGCCCCCTGGTTTCTCAGTGTCTTCAGGGACTATTTTCTATGTCCCCAGTATCACTGTGGACCCTCTGCAACTCTGTGATTCCTTGTACCCTCTGTGCACCTGGTGGTCTTGAACACACCAAGAGACTTCCCTGCTCCTCCTGTGTTCCCAGTGCCTGCAAGACTCTCCCTCCTTCTGCTGTACATCACAGTGCCCCCTTGGTCTTGGTAGTATCTGGTCAGCTGTATCATGCACAGGTGTGCCTAAGCCTGGAAGTTGTCCTGAAGTAAAGCCCATCACTCCTTGTGGGGTGCTCTACTGAATACTAAGCGCTCCTTAGACTCTGCACCTCAGTTACACTGCACTAAAGCATACAGGTGAATGGTGTCATTTCTTCGTGGAGGTGTGGAGGTGCCTGCACAGTATATCCCCATTGACTTCGATGGGGCTTGTCTACTTCCATCTCCTAGTTTGGAAACAGCCTCATAGAAGTCAGTGGGGATGTACCACACAGGCAAGGCCATAAGCATAAGATGTCTGCCCCAGGATGTACACAAACAATCAAGGCCGGGTCTGTTGTGTTGGAAATACAACAGAATATACTGATACAGCATGGTTCAATTTGCTCCAACAGGGGGAAAAGAATTCCTTACTGATCCCATAAGGCAATCGGATATTCCCTGGATCCACAATCTCTGATGCCTAATATACCTCTAAGAACTCAATATCCAGTAATATTCTGTGCATTTAGGAATACATCCAGATATTTTTTTAAACAATTTACCGAACTAGCTAGAACTAGCTCCTGAGGGAGTCTATTCCACATTTTCACAGCTCTAACTGTGAAGAATCCTTTCCGTATGCAAAGGTTAAACCTCTTTTCCTCCAGACGCAAAGAGTGCCCCCTTGTCCTTTGCACGTATCGGTGCATCCCTAATTTAGCTGCTATGCTGTATTCAGATGTAATATTCTTCTAAACAAATGAAACTTAATTAAGCATTCCTCAAGATCTCTGCATGGGCAGGGAAGGAACAGGGACATCAGTCTGGAGGAGAAAGTGGGACATGGCTGAAACCTTTAATTACATGAAGGGTATCAATAAGGATCATGAGGGCAGTATATTATATGTAGAACTGAGATCAAGAACACAGGGCTTGACATCAAACTAGCAGGAGAGTTCAAAACCAACAAAAGAAAGTATTCTTTTACCAAAAGAGTAAGTATTTGGTATTTGGTATTACCTTCCAGCAGAGGTAAGTGAGTCAGTCAATGAGTAAGTGAAATTAAACATGCTTGGGATAGACAGATCTATGCTGAGTCAAAAAAGTAAAAAAAAATAAAAAAGGAGAAGACTCAATGGACCACTATGGTCTTATTCTGCCATCGCTTTTCTGTGTTTCCATGTTAAAATAACGAGCATTTCCATGAGTTTTCAGTGTCCAAAAACAGAAAACGAGTTCCAAAACACTTGAAAACTCTTGTAAAATGAAAAAAAAAAGGTTGAAAACACTTCTAATGCCTGCTTCATAAACACTAGTATATACCTGGCCATTTTAAGTGCTTCTGGAGTCAACAAGCTCCTGCTGTTAGCAGAAATCACAAGGAGATGGAAGGAAGAGAGAGAAAACATTGCTATCTCTATCGATTTGGATAGAGATAGAAGGGAAGAATGCAAGCTTCTCTCTGTGTCCGAATTGGGGAGATATCCCCCATGTCCTGTCCTGGATTCTGTTGTCACTGGTACAGATTAAGGGTTGAATTCTTCCAGTAGGGGCAACTGTCCAGCTCAATATTTGGATTTTCTTCACTCATGCAATTTATTCCCTCTGCCTGTGATTTTAGCCTCCCCTCTCTAAATGCATTGTTTGGAGTTCCACCTTAAATCCATCTTTGCTTCTGTTAAAATACCTAAGCTAACTATAAACTTTAAAGAAAGATGATCCAATCACCTCCATGCAAGGCCTGAGCCATCACAATGTTTGACCCCATACAGCTTCGGGCAATGGATACAGATAAGGACATACCTATAGGCATAGCAGCTGTTGTGGCTGCTATGGGGTCCTGATAGTAAGGGGGACCCTTACTCTTTCACTGTCATCACTTTCCCCTTTACATTGCATGGTTGCTTTGATCAATGGCTCAGATGTTGAATAGTGTAGAATACCTTTCTAGACAGTGACCACAGATTGATCTAACTGGCTGGACCAGGTTAATTCCAACCTACCATTAAGCAGGAGCTCCTCTCCTGTTGTACATAGGGCAGGTAAAGCCGAGCACAAGGAGGAAGACAATTCTCTGGGCAGACCATGTAGTGATCCATTCAGTCTGCCAGGCTAAAACTCCCACATGTTTAATTACAATGGCCACCAGTGATAGGAGTAGGACACAGATGTACATTTACCACCTCTGATCATCAATGTTTAGGGGGTAATCAAGGCTGCATTTTAGACCAAATGAAAAAGTACCCTTGCAGTTGGGCTACCCCCACACTTCAAGGTCTAAGTGCTCCTTTTTGTCTAGGGGCTGGAGAGATGCAGGTTTAATTACCTGATCCTCTCACCCACCAGCTCCCCTAGGGCTGCTTGACTGGTCCCTGCACCCTCTCCCTCCCTGGGCTCTGGCAGTCTAAGGACCATTGACGTCATCATGTCTAATGCAGGTTCCATAGACCTGCATTAGATGAGATAATGCTGAGGGACCTTCCACCAACTGAAGTCAAGGAGAAAAAAAGCATTGACCAACAGGCAAGTAGGTTTCAAATAAGTAAACCTGCTTTACGCCAGCCCCTAGACAAAAACGAGCACTTAACCCTTGCAGGGAATGGCAAAACAATTGGCAAATGCACTCATCAATTTGTCAGCAGCTTTACAGCAAGGTGCACATGGAAGGGCTTTATACATTACAACAGCAAAGAGCTTTCCGGCACACTCACCAGCCAGCATGCAAAAAAACTTGTCTCACCGCTAAGGTTAAAAACAGAGGTTTAGATAAACGTCTTCTGCAGAAAATGTGAAAGCCGCACCACCTCGCCAAGGTACCTCTATCTAGGCAACTCTAAACTATGAGAGTCTCCATCTTGGAGCACATGTGGCAAAAGATAAAATTGGGATCAGGTTTGTCAGGAGGAAGCCCAACCTCCCTTAATGTGCGGGGCCCATTGTGCCAGCATGCTGGCTGGTGAGTGTGCTGGGAAACCTTTTGCTCTGGTAGCACAACAGGGAAAGGGTAGCCCCACCCCAGGAGTACTTTTTTGTTTGCCCTGAGAATGGCTTTTTATCTTTGCTGTGGAGC